GTCTGACGCGTCTGCCTCCGCGACCCGAAAGGAGAAGCGGCGATGGAAGATGATGATGATGATGATTTTGAGACTGACCTCTAGATTATGAGAATATGCTCTTTAGAATATCCACGCAGTTCTACCAGTGTAGATGATGAAAAGGAAGAATTTTAGCTTTAAACCACTCAAAATATTACTAACAAGCATAGCGGTGAATCGGTCTTCAGCAGGTTTAAACCCTAGCGCATGCTTCTGTTCTCCGGATGAGTGTGATAGCACTCTCATCCAATTAAGACGGGTTTCATCCATATTCAAAATAAATTCAGAAAGATAGTACACTCGATGAATGCTTTGACTGTGCCGCGAGATTTATATGCCATTTGAAAATAGCACTAGCACCACACTTTCATGCCGTGCAGGCTAATTCCTTACTTATCTATCAAACCACCCGCGACCGTCTCCAAATTTTATTGCTGTTCATCCTAGTCCTTGAAGATAGGTAAACATACTTTTTGCCTTTTCCAATTTGATTACTGGCTCAGAGGCATGGTATAATAAAAATCTTAAATATGATATCTCGGTGATGATCCAACGATGTTCTTGAATAGAGCCATAAAAACAGAAACAAAAATTGGCCAACAAAGAGCTTTATAAAGGATAACCGTTGACGTGCCAGCATTAAGCGATATATCACTGTAATATTGAATTTTTAAAAAATCTGTGCAATCGCCATGATAGAATTGACGAATGATAGACGCAGTAATCATAGCAAATGAAATTTAATTGAAGCCAGTGCCGGAATTGTTCTTATCATGATGTAACTCTGCGAGCATGATGAATAATCAAAGATGCAACTCAATCTTTGATAGGCAATTTCGAATTTGCTAGTACGGTTGGTATGTATAGTACCTCAAATAATAATAGAACAGTCATTCATATTTGCTTGCTTATTGGCTACTACCGTGATTTGAATGCATGGTATCATTGTGGTTAGAATAGCTGAATTGCAAGTTGCGTCGGAGATAACTTGGGGAAGTAGTATCAACTGCTTTCTTCTTGACGTGCTGGGAATTTCGTTCTTGGTGGCAAGCGTTAAATACACGTTGGTGACATGATGGCACAATGAGAAGTCGGCTTCGAATTTAAACTCCGGAGGAAATTCGGTTCCCCCGGAAAGACATGCCTTTACAACGAATTCCTCATATGGAATTTACCCCACGCTGCTTGAGGGCAGGGTTATTTTGTCGTTACAAGGTCGACACAGAACAAGCAGAAGATCCTATGCTCGAGCTTTTGCCTTTCTTCCTTCCGAAGTTGACAAAAGTAGGCGGAAAGCAGGACAATACAGATTATACTTGTCACATAGCTGCTGTCGATTCTACACTCCTGATTGATGACATTAGCGTTTCCTTCATTAACTTCATGCAAACAAAAGTGCTAAAACTGGCACCATCATGCAAGTGTAAGGAAGACCGACATCCAACGATTACAAAATTTCCTTTTTAGTACATAAAAAAAGATGCACGATGAAAAAAAATGGCGCTTGAGTTACCCGAATCTTTCAGCTTAGATTGTCTGGCGAAATCAGTCCCACAAAAATAAACTGACTAATACTAGTTTGGAATGTAGGCAACACAACAGAGTTTCTCGTAACAGAATTGACAGAATAACACCTGAGAGTCAGAATATCTGATTCCGATCATCCGACGCTGTGACGGTGGAAAAATTCAAGATGAGCATTCACATCACCTAAGCAAGTTCATTGACATATTTCACCGAAAACCGTGGAAAGTTGCTCGATTACTAGAAGCAAACCTACCAAAATGTCACCAAGAGACTTACCTGCTGCGTATGGTACAACTAGTAGGCATGATGCTGACGAGATCTCATGGAGTCACGCAGTAAACTACCTCCTTTGTTTATATCCCTGCCATCTGAACTACATCTGAAACAGTCTTAGGTTTAGCTCTGAACAGCTTATGACGCGGTTTATGGTTATTTGTCGATAACGATACATCTTTTAACGTTGGTAAGCCGTTTACTTCCGTAATATTAACTTCTACCAAGGCAATCTTTAAGAATAAAGCAGTTGATAACAGCACTGAGGTTGCTTTGACGCAACAAAAACCTGTCTACAAAGTAACTTAACGAAAAAGCAAAAGTATGGTTAAGGCACATTTTGAACGTTACACAAACGACTGCAAATAAGGCACTTAGATCATCACGATGCAGTATTGTACCTGTATACAATTGAAATTTTCGCTGAAAAATTCAAAACAATTGCACAAAACTTTGAACTATATGAAAACGTGTAGAACTCTAAAACACAACATTTAAAACATCTGCGTAAACGCAAATAAAACCTTTTTACAAAAAGTCAATTACACAAATAATCAGCATCTGGACGGTGTCTGTACAATGTGCTGATGACCAATAAATCAATTTTCTTCGAACTCAAATTCAAACCCCAATGAATATCCATCATACCAACAGGAATTACGCCTCACGCAGATCGTTCGTTTGCGCTCGGACTGGATATGACGAGCATTCGTTTACACAGAAAAGTACAGAGATGCGCGCTGTTCAAGTCATTTACACTTCAGCGTACATTGCCACGCAAATACTGTTCTAAATCCTGAGGGTTCAACTCCTGAAAAACTGAAAATTACACCGTGAAAACAGAAAAAAAATTATACCTGAATACTGGGGTCTACATCCATTATCGAATTTAAATCGATACTGCTGATATTCAGATCTAAGTCTGGATTGAAAAAGTTTTCGGGAGTGTGAGGATGAGAATAGCCAGTACCAAACGCCATGCCCAAACCTGAATCGCTAGACTCTTGTCTACCATGATATTCTGAAGACATGACGTTGGAGTGCTGCATTAGCGTAGGTTGACCGGAAGAACAGGAATCAATCTAATTGTTAAAGGTAAGTCTACTTTGACTATTTTTTGCTTACTCGTACATTCATGCATTGCGAAAGGGGAGCCGAACTAGCAGGCGAACGTCTATCACTCAGCAAACCCTAAAAGTTCAGATATTACTTTTATGAACTGCACCACATAATACTATTACGGAAAGTAGGCTAATGAGGGCCTGCATGAGACA